TGAAAAGGCGGAAAAAGATACCAAAAAGAAAGGGAAAACCTTTTTGAGCCCCCTTAAAAAAAAAAGGAACAAACGATTGGCCCCCCCGGAGATCCGTCCTCGGGGCGCAACGCTCCGCCATCCGGGGGAGGGGGGGGCAAGGGTCCAACCCCAAAGGGAGCCAAAAATAAAGGGCGCCCCCCCCCCCCCCCCCCCCCCCGGGTCTCCCGCCCGGCAGAGTCGAGCTTGGAGAGGAACTGCCGACGCAGTCGCCGCAATCAAAAGACGAGAAGAAGAGCGACGATTCCACGGAGCCCCCGGAATCCTGGAAGGGGAGGGGGGGTCCTTTCGGAATCGACGGGGATTGGCGAAACGCGCTTCAGGAGGACGGGGGTGACGGGGCTGAGAACGGGCTGCGAGGGGAGGCCTGCATGACCCACGAGAATCGGAAGGAGGTGAAAGAGGTTCTGGAGAAAAGGAAGGTCGATCCACCGAGACAGAAGGTATTTCTTTTGTACATCGCTCCCTGGCCCTTCGATAGCGCCCCCACTTGCAGAACTTCATGTACTCAAGATTGTTTCGAACTCAAGGGCTTGAACTATATGTACTCAATTTTGTATGGAACAGAAGAACTTGAGCACCGTTTGTGAGCCCGGTTAATGACCCCTACAGCATATGGCGACCATTTCTAGGGCCACAAGAGGAGCGAAGCCTGGGCCAAAACTATTATAAGAGGATCTTGAGCGCGGGTGCTATGTGTACAACACGCTGCAACACGCTGCAGGGGTTGGTTGGACAATCAGGAGATAGATCGGTGGAACAAGAGGGTAGGAGGGGCATGTGACGCGATCGAAGGCAGGGAGCCACCAAGCATGGCTCTTGATGTTGCTTCTGCTGCTGCTGTAGGATGAACCCAACAACCAACGAGGGCCCTACCCCAAAGGGACACATTCAGTTCAAGCCATCAGACATACATGCGCATGCGTACAGTACTGTATTTTTTTTTCTTCTTATATTTAACATGCCAACGAAATTATGTGTTGTTTTCTTGCAAAATGACAACCAACACCAGTCTTCCCGTTCTCTTTCTCATCTTTCAACATGCCATCGATTTTTTTTTTTGTTTATCTGCCCCGTGAAACGAACGAAGGTGGCCGTATGCCTACGCACCAAGGACTACGGCAGGTTCCTTCCCGAGTGGGTGGCCTTCCACTACGCCATAGGCGTGGACGAAGTCTCCATCTACGACGACAACAGCGTGGATCAAACGTCGGAAGTGCTCAAGCCTTTCGTCAGCGCGGGCATCGTTCGGTACATCTTCGACATGATCCCTAGGTGAGGTTAGCTGTTTCTGGGCATTTTCTCACGTCTGCGTCCGTCTGTGTTTCTTAGAAGTTGCTGCCAACCACCCGCTAAGCGGGTAGCCTGTATAGGTGCAAACTGATGTTTCCTTCCACTCACTGTAAAGACTCCAGCACATCCCTCCTGACTGGTTATAGGGTAGTCTTTCTGTGACATTATATTTACTTTCTAGAAAAACTGAGGGGTTACAGACGGGAACCTCTTTTGTTGGCTGAGGCTCGGTACCCCTCGGCGACTATACAGGTTTTTGTATACAACAGGGTTCTTGAATGAGAACCTGTTCTTTTGGCCAAGTTCTTGGATTCCTTAAGGCGCAAGTTCTTGAATGGTGGCGCGTTCTCTACTGGACAATGTGCGTGTGTGTGTTTCTTGGGGGGGAGTATTACTGTTTTTTTCTGTTTTGGGGACGCAGTATCCCCTTATCGGTGTGTGCTGCTGCTTGTTGTGTCGAGCAGGCGGAACGCCCAGATGGAGCCTCTGAACCGCTGCTTGCGGCACTACATAAACCGAAAGAAGGACGACCCTGAGAACGCTCCCAGCTGGCTGCTGTTCCACGACAACGATGAGTACGTCTACCCGCGGGACACCAGCATGACCCTCTTCGACGCCCTCAACAAGCACGAGTCTACCTGCTGTGCCCTGGTGTGTTGACAGTTCGGGTGGAGTAGGGCACGTGGCAAGCGCTTAGGCGTTGTACTGTGCGCTATCATGTTGGCACGTGACGGGTGCTTAGACGTTGCTTTATGCGCATCATACTAGCACGTGACAAGAGCTTTGACGTTGTTTATGCGCCAGCATATTGGCGAGTGACGGGTGCTTCGACGTTGTTTTTAGCACCATCATACTGGAACCTTACAGGGGCTTAGGCGTTGTTCCATGCCCCATCATATTGGCACGTGACAGGGGCTTAGCGGTTGCTTCTTTCACACCGCGTTGGCGCCTGACAGGTGCGCCGCATCCAGTACGGCTCGGGAGGGCACGACGAGATGCCAAGGGGGTTGGTCATGGACAGCTTCATGGCTCACCAGAATGACTCTTCGCATCACGCCAATCCCAAGGTAGGTATACATCTACGAGGAAAGTTGTAGGAAAATCGCGCGGACTCTCGACGGTGTACTGCTGTTGGTGGTTGTGTTGATGCATGGCGTTGTACTGGTGCTATTGGCGGTGTATTCTGGTATGCATGGTTGTTGTCCCTGGTTTGGTGGTGGTAGTGGTGTTTGTTCTACGACTGGCATCATCGCCGCGGTGTGCTACACGAAGCATGAAACCCTGTGCTGCACAAGTACCCAAACGCCCCGGCGTATGTTTCCCCTTTCGACCCTCAGGGGGTTCTGTACCCTGCTATCCTTAACATGTACCATGTGGAATTGCTCGATTTTCTGGGTTGATGGTCAGGTCCTACGATAAGACTACTCACCGGATGTTGTGGCGAACACGACGGGTTTTTAAGCACAACCGGCCATGATAATCAGTTTTTTTTAACTTTTAAACGAACAAGTGACGTGTGGATCCGAAGTAGGGGGCGACGAGTCAACAACGTTTTTCCGGTTTCGTTTCTTCCGTGGGGTTGTGCCATGCCAGGTCGTGGTCAACCTGACTCCTACCGAATCGGATCCAGTAGCGCCTCCGCTGAAGAGCATGCACAAGGCGGAGGGGTGCGCATGCCTGGACCTGAAGCAGGAAGTGCTCATAAACCACTACCTGGGGTCCCGCGGAGACTACCTGGAAAGGGTACATCGGTACTGGTCGGTGCGGTGTAGTATGCTGGTCTTGCGGGTTGGCAGGTTTTTGTGTGTGTCCTTCCTTGCTCGTGTTGCCGACCGTGACTCGGGTCCGCCATGGGTGCTTGCTTTATGTAGGTGACCGCTGCGACGCAAAGCACCACCAAGGTGCCCACGAAGTATTTCAAGTCGTTGCTTTCTGACACAAATAAAAAAGCAGCCAAGAGGTCTAACGTCAACGCCCTCTTCTTGTCAGATCTCGAATACATTGAAGGTACAGCAGAGGCTGTGTTTCATCCACCGGGAGTTCCTGGGAGGGTAGCAAGGACGTTTACACTCCATCAAATTCAAGACAGTAAGACACTATGACAAAAGACTGCAATCAGTAGTCTAAAGACTATTTACCCGTTCGAGACATAACCAACCCTACCCCTCAAATGCCCTCATTTTTCTTCTTGAACTCCTCCGCTGCCCCTTCCACTTCCGCTATGAACACCACAGACGTATATGGCAGGCGACAACGATCCCGGCCACAGGCTCAGCCAGAGGGATGTAAACGACCGCGTCTCTGACACCATTACCCACTGGTCTTGCTCTACTCGAGAGGTGCTCTACCGAGTTGACAACGGCCTCGACCTTCAGACGGGACTGCCGCCCTCCACTTGATCGGTCGAAGGACCGACCACCACGTGGGTGGTTGGACAATCAATCCGTGGGTGGGTGTGGTTCGTGCCCGGTGTTTCTTTGTGTTGGTGGCAAGCCTCTCGCTGTTTGCGTGTGTGTGCTCGATGTGTTGGTGATGTAGAATAGCTTTTTTTCGTTCGTTTTCGTTCCACACTTCCTTGCTTTGCTGCACAACGTAGTCTCTACTCTCACTCCAAGGCCCCTGGGTCATTTACAGTACGCGCCGGAAAAATCCCCTTGGCCGCCAATGGCGAGGTGGCGTCGGCAGGGGGAGCGAGCGTTTTTGGTCTGGTGCCGACACTGATACTGCGCGGTTTGCTAGCGTGTTTCGGGCGGAGAAATCGAGAGACAGACAGGCGTTGTTTCCAGAGCCTTTGCACTGGCTGGTGTTGTTATCGTTGTTTTGGTGATTAAACGTCCTGAGGTATGTATGTAGAACGACGGACTTCTCTAAGAAATTGTACGTAAATCCAAATATTAGTGTTTTGTGGAGGACACCTGTCAGGAGTATAACCAACCATGTGTGCACATACAAAGTGTAGGAAGATATGGCTCCCTCGGGGTATCTTGTCACAAGGAGAGTGACAGGAAATGCACCGACCGTCGGAGATGGATATCTTCCGAAGTCCCTGGCCACTTGCCGGAAGTGGAAGCGGAGAGTCTTCGACTTTCCTCTCCCTCTGCCGCTATGGCCACTCTCTCTTTCTACCCTCTTCTCCTCGTTTACACATCATGAGAGGAAATAGCCTTCCCCTGGCAGTGGGATAATACTGCCACGGCACCGGCCTCTGTCTCCGACAGTAGCCAGTGTCCTCATTGGCGTCGACGACTGAAGACTCCGTGTTCTTTAACACGCGTTGTATGCTAACTAGGGTTAAGGATTGGCCCCCCGCCCCCCAATGGGGCTGGGGGCCAACATCCAGGACGGATGGTGGTGAGTGTCCGGGAGGAAGGAAAGAAGAAGGAGGGGAGAGGATTTGTAGGGGCGGGAAGAAGGGACGGTGTTGGGAGAGGCAAGGAAGTGGTGAAGAATTTCGGCACTCGACGAGCGCGCAGTCCCGTCGGGGGTGAAAGGGACATGCCAGTCCGTAGTTTTGTCTATCTGAATCGAAAAGCCGAAAAATCGAGGTATGTATGTATACATTATGTACATAACGATGGAGGAGGCCGACGAGGAAGGTACGAAGAGAGGAAATTGCACCCCACGTTCGAAGTTCGAAGTCGATGTGAAAACCGCGGCAAGGAAGGAGTGCGAAGGAAAAGAAAAAGAAAAAGGAGACGTCGACGTTTGCGTCGTGGAACGATCCTTCCGTATAACGCAGGTACTACTCACCAATGCAAGACGGGGAGGTAAAATACCCATCGTGAAAGTCAAAGTGCAGGTCATGACCGCATCATATGACTCATGCGCGGAGAAGATACCAAGAAGACTTACCAACAAGAAAAGTATGAAGGCCGGCTGAGAAGGTTTGAACACACAAATACTTAACCCTTATTTATGTGCCTACACCCACGAATGAGCTCCGTTCCCAGCTCCGATGACTTTGGGTGCCGAAAGATCGCCGTTCGTTGTGCCTCGCTCGGCTAAGAGCAAAAAAACTACATAGAGACCAGCAGGGAGACACAGGCAGCGCACCCCGAAAGCACGCTTATCAGCAATGCGCACAGGACTCACATAGTACAACACTATTCACACATGCCTAATCTCTCTGACGTGGGGCAGATATCCTTTTCAGATCCAATCTACTGCCTATACCGGTACTGCTTGCTGTAGTCTGAGATTCAAACGCACAATACCACCGGAGAGGGTACATACAGCACCCTGAACATACATACATGTGATCAACCCGGTGCCGCATCCGCGGGGGAGAGCGGAGAAAGCGCACACCGGACCCGATGCTAACGTACTGCCTCGGTGCTTGATGTTGTTGTGGTTGCGGTGCGTGTGGTTCCCAGTATTGGGAGTGAAGGGTGGTTCGTCTGCTGTGTGCAAAATTTTGCTCAAAGGCAAGGGTTTTCGGGACTACAGCTCCGATCACAGCTCTCTATTTATTTGTAGTACAGAATAATAGTAAAGATTATCACGATTTTTATGCATTTTTTTGTGCGAGATGATAGTGGATATTGTTCTCGATTCTCTGATGAGCGGGCCGTTTCTTTCGTCGATCTGGCACTTCTGTGAGGCGGTTTCCCGTCAGCCTCTTCGCATCTAGCGCCGCTAGCATGTACATGCGCTTGCCGTATGCTCTGTCCAAGGATGAGGTGGAGAACATGTGCCAACAGGTATTGCTTGCACAGACAGGTATATCCTCTGTGCGGACGGTTGCTGTCGGAGACAGGCATGCACACCTGCTCAGAAACTACTGCTGCTGCTGTAGTAGTAGTCTATTTCTTTCCGCATAATAACTGCTACTACTGCTGTTCAGCAGTAGTAGTACTACTGTACTCCTGTTCGTCACTCTTACATATATACCGCGTCCCCATCCCTGTGAGCCCCACACACACATGGACCCACTGCTGCACCATCATCATCCTTGCCGCCGTGATTTATTTATGGGTGCACGCATGCATGCATGCTTGGAAGATCTTTGACCGCAGAGAGCCAGCTGTGGGGAAAAAAACATAAAGAAAGATCCAAATTAACCCAGTTTTACGTAAGGGTTTAAGCGACGATGGCAAGCGCAACGTCAAAACTTCACAAGAAGAAAAGTGCAAACAAAAAGAAAAGGCCGGATGCCGACCTATGGCTCTCTCGGAATGAAGGGATTATTCCCACAATTAATTTCCAACAGATAATAATCCACAAGTAGTACGGACATATATATGAAGGTACTGGGTAGAGAGAGATCGGAACGGTTTTTAACGTGAAGACACAACAACAACATCATCAATAATGATGAAGGTCGCGACCCGTCCTGCGTCGTTCGGTGTAAAATGATAAATAATGCGAAAGATGGACTGCGTAAAGATCCAGCGGTCTTTTTCGGCAGTGGCAAAGAAATATGCAACCACATGATGTATGTATGTCGCAAAAAAAAAAAGTTGAGCGGGATACCGTAGGACATGGAACACCGCCTTCTCTGTTGCTGCTGCAGGCAGGTTTGCTTCCACAACCCGGGAACCCAACCCACTCTTGTATTATTTCGGGCTACAATAAGACTCCACAATCGATGCAAGCACCGGTAGGAGAGTGCGTGGCAGCTGCCGTACAGCACAACTAACTCCACTCTCCGTAGCACCATGTGGAAGATCTCCGAGGGGTCCGCCTGCTGCGCGGTAACTGTTCGTGATAGTTGCTGCTGTGTGTGTCGATAACGTAGCACTGATATGTAGGGCAGTTCAAATAACGGGACTGTCGTTTTGTAGGAAGGTTCCTAACGGGACTGTTGTCGTATTGTAGGAATGTTCCTGGAATGCCTACTTGTAGAATGTTCTCGGTATGTCGGATCGGAAATTGGCCTGCGTTCCGTGTTTTGTGCGTTGGTCGAGCGACATGGCTGGTGCTGCGGTGCTCGCGCACCCAGCCCACTCCACCTTTTGACCTGTTCTCCTGGTCCAAGGTCTCATCAATACAACATCTTTTCCGCAGAAGCCACGAGTTTACCAACACGCTATAGCGAATCAGTCGACTGCTGCTTGTCCCCTTGGACTGTACGTCAAGACTGAACGGAGGAAGATTGATCACGTTGCTTTGTGATGAGTGGGCCTGCTGGGGATCATGTGGATGACCCACCTCCGGGTGATTCGCAAGGTGTTATTGGTGGTGAGAGATTGGATTCGATTGAGACACAGTTGTCCCAGCTCACGAGCATAATCAAGTCGCTTGTTGGGCAACGAGGTGATCAGGTGGAGTCCTCTGTTTCATTTGCTGCTGCGCCGGGAAGCGGCGGAACAGAGTATGCTGGTGTGCATCAATCGGATGTCACTGGCAGGACTGTGGGAGGTACGGACAGTAGTGTCCAAGGCTTTGACATGTCCAGCATGTGGGTTGGGAGTAGTAGTCTTGCAGACTCAGGCTTGAACCTTCGTGCAATTGTTGTTTGTCGTTCCTCTCTCTGCTGGTGGTAGAGCCAGCGGCGGAACCGACGCCGGTTGGCATCCTGTAGATGCTACTGGCAGGACTGCGGGAGGTAAGGGCAGCAGTGCCCAAGTCCTTGGCATGTCCAGCGTGAGAGTTGGGAGTAGTAGTCTTCTAGACTCAGACTTGAACCCTCATGCATCTGCTGTAAATCGTCCCTCTGCTGGTGCTGCAAGCTTTGGTTCGATTGGAACTGTTAGTGGGGCTTCGGGTAGTAGCCAGTCTTTCGGTTCGGGAATGGTTAGTGGGACTTTAGGTAGTCAGTCTTCCATTCCGGGAATGGTTAGTGGGGCTTTAGGTAGCCAGTCTTCCATTCCGCCCCCATCTACTCCATCGAGTGAGTGGTGGGGATGTGTCGCCAGTGGAAACACATATATTCCTGGGGTCGGCATTAATAACACAGGAGAAAACTTGGGTAGGAGTCCTTTTCAAAGTTCCCAAAGCTTCTGTTTTTGACGGGACGGACGTGTCGTATCCGTCGTGGTCACAATTGTCTGTACTGAGTGCCCACAACAATAATCTGTATGAGGCTTTTGTTTCTGAGCTACATGTAGAGATTTCGATTGCAAGCATTGAATTCGATCTGACCCCCTGGGTAGAGAAAGGATACAACATACATGGGTGTGCTGTGCCAGACTGAGATATATATCAAGGTGGATTTTGTTCGACTGTTTGAATAAGAACTCTCTCAATACCATGGCTAGGCATGCAGGTTCCCCCACCAAGTCATTTCGAGTGTTGAAAAATCACTTTCTACCCTTGAACCAGAGCACTGTCTGGAACCTTGGAGTTGGTGTTTGTGAATGCTGACAGCGAGTTTTCCGTAGAGCTGGAGAATGTATTGACCTCTTTTCTCCCAGCGCAGATATTGGTGGTGAGTCATGGAATTACCTTGCTTGGTGGTCCTGATGGTGTGATGACTGTTTTCGACGGACATACTATTTTTCACAGCTTCGATGGCATGCTAATTAAGACTGCGTATCGTCTTGAAGATGAATCTGTTGGTTCGGTGTTAACTGCCCTCACTCCTTCAAACCCCAAGCATGAATCTAAGATGGATGTGAACGAGGTTCATAACATTTATGCTCATTCGCATGAGGGATTGCTTCGTACAACTGCAAAGCGACTAGGTATCGAGTTGACCGGTAAAATGCATGCTTGTACAGGATGTTCGATGTCGAAGGCATTCAAGAAAGGGATTGCTCATGAAACAAAATGCAGATCAGACAAAAAGTTGGGCAGAGTTTTTGTTGACCTGGGAGGGCGGAAGGACGTTGCGTCCGTAGGGGGGTAAACATTACCCCATGATAGTGAAGGATGATTTCACAAGACGGACATGGATGTATTTCCTGAAAAGTAAATCAGACGCTGCGAGTGCTTTCCGGAGTTTCCTT